CTCATTCAGTGACCCTGACTACCCCTTATACTGGCACTTTTTGTGCAAGATTGATGGAAAACACACTAAACGTAAGTTTCATGTTTTGTTTTTGCAGTCTCTACTGTACAGACACTTCTCTCTGTACCAAAGCCTTTTATTTCTGTCTTTCAGATGATAGAGGATGTTTTGGGGGAGGGCCCTGTGTCAGCTAGCCGCTTCAGCCAATGGTTTTCAAATACCATGAGCCCCTCAGGCAGCCGATCCAGCAGTTTGAGGTCCACTCCTCATGAGGAGCTGGAAAAACTTGCAGGCAAGTAATTTGAGCTCTTCTGTGTGGCCTCTATTACCTGTGTGGCTGTGGGTATAATTATCTACCAAACGCTGCTCTTTACAACTTCAGGCATATGCTAGTTTTAAAGTGTAAACAATACCTTGATTACACTGCCCTGAGTAAATGACTGTAACAAGCTGATAATGGACAAACTCTGTCAACTGCATCCCTGTAATTGGTGGAGCCAGTGGAGTTTTGAATTTTTATTTGTTGTATAGATAACATCCATGTCTCACTCTGGATCTTTTTTTGTTTCTTTTGGATAAATCCATCGGAACAATTTTGGGACCTTTCTCATTTTATTTTTATGCATCTTACATTTTCCTCTGACTTTTTTTTTTAAAGTGCTTGACCCACGCTGCTCATCTGCCAGCCAAGGCTCTGCGTCGTACTTCACACCTATTCAGTCATCAGATGGCAAAGAAAAGGTGGACATTCTGGAGCTCCTGCACAAAGCCAAAATTGACCTCAAACCACTTCTGTCCACGCTGTCGGTCAACAAAGCCCGGCTACGAGAAAGTAGTGGGTGATTCTCTGTACACATTCCTCACTATTTGAAATGAAAAAGCTGTCTGTTTTCAGATGTTTAACTGCCATTAACTGGTTAGCTTAGCTTTGTTGAAAACCAACCTCTCCCGCATTACCGCATTTAAGAGCAAAACAGTATTTGTTCCTGCCTTTTTATTACATGAATGGAAAAGCTTTGATCTAATTAAAGCTACAGTCACAAAAGGCGGACACACAGAAAAACACTGAAAACATGAGGCTGACTAAGCTGTAATGCAATGTAATAGTTATGCTCCACCAATAGGTGGAGCACTAGTGCTGCCACACATTTAAAATCTATTAATATAAAAAAAAAAAGCTAACAAAACTCCCCCATCTGTTAAAAGTTTATGTAACACATTTGTTAATAAACAGGTCACTTGTTTTCATACATATTGCTGACACTTTAATTTGAATAATATCTTGATGGAGCCTTTTCTAACATTCAACACTACAAGATTAAAACGTGTATGGTCTGTGGTGAATGCAGAATAGAGGGGGTGGGGCACAACAAGTAGGAAGTGTACAATCACAAATTCAAAAGCTTCTGAACTGTAGATTATAAAACAGAACGTTAGCCCTAACATCTGCTGTTTGGGTAGGCCCATGCTAACGGGGAACAGGGCTGTGTTGGCTTGAATGCCAAAACGCACTGTTGTGCATTTGTGTGTGTTGAGACTGAGACGTCATCAGCAGCTACTGCACTATCTAACCAGAAGCATGTAGCATTAACTCCAACCCAAATTTGCAGATCTGCACAGTTCCTTCATATCTTTAGATTGCCTAAAGTGCCTATATCATGCAAAACTGAGCTTTCAGTTGTATTGTATTGTTGTTCCTTTATCTTACTCTCTTGATAGACTCCTGTCTCATTAACTACCCAATCTTTCACTGCTCCATGCAGATGGAGGATCCCTTTACTCATTTCCACATAGCCTTTGCAGCTTACTAAAATAACCTGTCTGTTCTCAGCTAACTCAGGGGTGGTCCTCTCTCTGGAGGAAGTTGAAGGAGAGATGAAGGGAATGAAGCTGAGCTCAGAACCACATGTGCAGAAGATATCTTCTCCTCAGAGGGGAAACGGCACACCCTTCATGGCCGAGCATCTTGAGGAAGCTTTAACCGGTGGATCTGTTAATCGGCCTCGCTGCCGTGACACAGACATGTCTGCTTTTAATAAACTGGTCAGCAGCATGAAGGCAAGTGGAACTCTGCCAACTCACCCCAAACCCAACACAAACAATGTAAGTATCCCTCTGACTGTTTTCTGCAAGCTGTGTACTGGATGTCTAACACTACTTTTGCATGCTGCAGTGGCTACGATCTGTTCCAGGGATGCTAAATTCTTACTTTTAAACTAAAACTTGAGAACTTTGTGAAATACCTAAAGATTGGTGGGCATAAATTTGTACCATTCCAGAGGTTATCTGTCATTTACAGCAATTCAGTGCAAGTTGCCACAGACGTGAGATAATTTCCAAATAAACAAGAACCATGTAAATGGTTATGAACATGAACAGTAGCAATCAATGATTCTTTACAGTTCAAGAGCATTGGTAACTTGCATGAAGGACTGTAGAATGGCTTCACGTGTGGTGTACCCATCTCTGTGGTCCTGCTTAGTGGGAGGTCTAAGTTCAAGTGGCTCTTTCTCTTAAACCTTTAAATCCTACATGAGTATGTCTAATAGTTGCTGCTTAGACTTTCCAAATATAAAACTGGCCCATTGAGGTTTGGTTTATGGAGGTGGTGCTTTGTTTTTGGTGAGGGATGGATGACTGGATGCAACTTTATTTCAAATCTCTATTTATTGCAGCAGCCTTCGGATCAAAATGTGGGACCTCGACCTCCTCATGTCCCTCCTCAGCAGCAGAAAAACATATTCCAGGTATGTACATTGTCTTTCTCCTTGATCGTTCATGTTTTGGATGAATGTCTCAAGTCGTCCCTGACCGATCTTCAAATTTTGGGACAGAATCTTTGGCAGAACTGGTTCTGGATGGTGTTTCTATGTTGGATTGTAAAAAGCTGGAATCATGTGATGTCATCCACATTGAAGCTCCACAATAAAACCTTCTTAAAGTAGAATATTGAATCATATGAAAATGAAGAGGAAGTGCTCTACAGTGTACTGATTTCTCATTGCAAATGTTCTCAGCAGAAGAAAGTACCAAGCAAACTGAAGAATTTGTAGCTGTATGTTTTGGGTTATTGGTTTTCTATAAAATGATGTCTAATCACTGAGCATTTTGGGAAGTTAAAGGTATAGAGGACGATCTTTTATTTTTGGGTGAATCATCTAAATAAGTTGTCCTAATCGTCAAACATTCTGGTGATAGGTTTACGTAAGGCTGTCCCATTAGCTATCTTTCTATGCGCATGCACATTTTCAGCCACACATGTGGTGAGCTACAGTTTCAGTCATTGAAGCTCACCTTACTCAATGCGGTTCTTTGAAAATGGCCGAGGGTCCCAAGAAAAAGTGTCTACAAAGTGTATGAAAAGAAAAGAAAGGCCCCAGAAGAGGCAGATGGCTATGAAAACGGCACATTTTTAACAGGGCGCTCACAGGGAGAAATGGGCTCGTGCATGCGCTTGCACGCATTATTTTTGTTCAAGTGGAGAGGGCGGGTCTTTTAAAAAATCCTCTACGATACCTTTAAGTCCTTAGTGGAAGAAGACTAAATTATTCTGACCAACCATCGTTGCTGACTGTAGCTATTCAAATTAAGGCAAAAATATCAGTAAAACATATTTGTGTTAAGCAGAATGTTTCTGAGAATGTATCCGAGGGTTATTTGGGCCTCCAGTTCTGCTGTAGGATGTTGGTTCCTTCCTGCTACACCGAGAACAAAGAACCTCTGGATTAGTTGGGTCACAAGCATCAAAGGCTGTATTTTTCTCGCCAACATTGATGCAGCTGAACTCTACTTTTCCAAAAAGTCTGAGATTGAAATATTTTGGGGAAAAAATTTACCAATAAAATCTCAAAGCCCTTCTTTTAAAAACTGTAAACCAATAGTTTAAATGTTAAACTTCAGCTTCTCTTGTAGTTTTTGAAATTGCACAAATGGATTTTTTGGCTTTATTCAGGGCCTGTCTTTACATGAACTACACAGGAAAAACTTGATTAAATCAGGAAATATTTTTGTTCTCCCTTGTTGATAAGGAAAAATATTATGCCTTCCTCAAACATATATGCATTTGGTTTTTCAATTGAGGATACACAATCTGAGGCCAAGCTTTAGAGATGACTTTTTGTCATTCCATCTCTGTAGGAGCTCCTTGGTGTGCGTAGTAGCTCACCGATACCTTTAGGTGGTCTGATGGGCAGCTCTGAAGCCTCTGTGTCATCTGGCCCTCTACATGGCTTACTGCACAAAGGCCTATCGCCCCCTCTGTTTTCACAGAGGGCCCCCTCACCGGACTACTTCAATAATAGGATGCCACCTACTACAGGTAATTGTATATGTATATTTTAAACTGGAAGCTTGTCATAACTTGAGTTTATGAGTTATTACTAATTACTTATTGTATTATATACAATTCTATAGACTAAAACTAAATGTTTTTTTTTCCTTATGATTTATAAAGGATTTCCTACCGGCCCTCAGTCTTTGCTTCCAGAACAGTTTGCAGACATCCACAGGTCTATCAGTCCTTCTCAACAGCAGGTTAGTAGTTTTAATGGATCTATTGTCAGAAATCATGGTTCATTGCTATTTTCTTGCATTTATCGTAGTTGTATGTTAGTCCTGTGTTTTCATGGTTTTAAATGGTGCCCGTTTTTGTCTGCTTGAATTCACTCCTTATACACTCAACCTCTACATATTGAACCAAATCATGTTCAGGTCTGACACAAAGTAGTGTCCACAACCCAGGATGGCCAGGGTTAGACATCTGCAATGTAGAAATACATTTTTAAAAATGAATAAATCACCCATTCATCATTATTTCACCAGATAAGGGGTCTACATCTTCCTGCGAATCAGATGGATCTGGAAGTCCTGGCTCTCCAGCAGGAGCTTGCTCTACATGGCCACCAAGCATATCAGTCAACTTACAAGCACCCACAGGACAGGTCTTTCAGAAACAGGTAAGTATTTTATCGGAATTCATCTGACTTGTTACACGTAAGCATATCATTTTAGTCATCCTTTCCAACCCCAGGCTATATAAATGAGAAGCCACTCTATAGATGTTGTAACTCAGTCGCAGAACTAATTTGGTATAATGAGCTGCTCCTCAAGATTGAGAGAGATCATATCTGAGAAAATATTTAACCAAAGGGCTTATGGATTGACAAAAGGATAAACTCATAATTTACAGGCATCTGAAGGGAAAAGTAATTGGCACAGGGACTCAGACAGCATGAGGGTGAAGGTGAAGTTCTGGTATGGGACATTATTCCTGGAGATTGGCCTGCTTTTTGCCTCTTTGCGTTGGAAATTAAATCCAGTTCAACTGCTGCTCCTAACTTCAGTTTTCAGAGACACAAGTAAAACAGTGCTCCATTGGATCCATTACCGTACTGTGTAGCTAGCCAGTAGAAGCCTTAATGACGTGTTTGTCTTCTTCACCTGACCTGCACCTCATTTCTGTCCCTTCTAGAAACGTATAGGTCTTTGTTAGGCTCTGGTCCTTGCTACACCGAAAAGTGATGACAAATTAGGAATCTGAGACTGACTGAGGGGCTTCATCTTTTTAGTTTCAGATACATTTTTATGTTAGTTGTGGACTCTATTTTTAGGAGTAAACACCTACATTTTATTTAATTAGATCAGGTTTGGTGTTTATTTACTTTGAGCTTGGCTATGAGCACTACTGTGTAATAAAGTGAATCTTACAAACATCCCAACTGTGCAAACGGTGTATGACTTGTGAAAAAATCTAAATATTTGATTTATGCAAACCTTGGATTTAAAATGGTTTAAATGTGTCTGCTCAATAGGCCACAGCGCGTTTCTCGTTCCCCTGGACCTCAGCCTGCTGGAAGAACGTCACCGGGAAATGCCGTCACTAGCATGGTGAGCATAAAGTTTTGTCTCCTTTCCTCAGGTCTTTTGGAGGAAAATGTACTAGCAATTTTACGATCTTCTGATATCTCTCAATTTCAGTTATCGCCATCGTTTACACCCACATCTGTGATCCGTAAAATGTACGCAACCAAAGAGAAAAGCAAAGATGAACCGTCAGGTCGTTCAGAACCTAAGGAGGAAGCGACCGCAAACTCACAAGATGGTACACAGCATCTGCTTCATAAGCTCCGTCCTTCTCAATGGTGATGGAACACTAAGGCTTTTGTGCTTGCAGGTGGTAGCTCTCCAAACCACCTCTTGGAGTCGGTGGATGTTAATGTTGCACAGTCGGCTGCAGTAAAGATAAACTCGCAAAGCAAAGACCAAGAGCGCCTCAGGCCAGGTTCCGCTGGACATCACGTGCCTCCAGTGGCGCCTGCAGGGCCGAACTCATCATTTCCTCGTCCAATCTACCCAGTACCACTTCTATCCCATGTCCCGATGGTGCGCCCTCATCCCCAGCTCCACCCTAACATGGTTCAGAGAATGCTTGCCCAGGGGATTCAACCCCAGCAGCTGGGACCAGCTCTTATGCAAGCAAGTTAGTAGTTTGTCCTGCAGTCTTTAAACTAGCCTAGCTTCCATCAAAGCACTCCAGGTCCTGATATTCATTAACCAAACTGTTTTTGCTTTTTCACAAGGTATTTTTCCACCACATGTTGACCTAGCGCAACTTCAAGGTTTACCTCCACCCCTGTTGGGACAGCCGCTGTACCCATTAGGTGCAACGGGGCTTCTACCTCCCAGGGCCAATACTCCAATGCAGTTGGCTGTCATGCATCAGCAGCTTCAGGGGCAGAGACAGAGTAAGTACATTAATTGTACTTGGTGAAAAAAAATGTTTAGGTTCATAATTGCAAAGAAGCTTTACAGCTGAATTTTTCTAAAGCTGCTTGTCAAAATGTGTTCCTCATATTAAATCTTGTGTATATCCTTATTGTAGTGCATCCAGGCATAGCAGGCGGTCCGTCACAAAGCCAAGGCCTCCATCGGACAAACGGCTCCCAGCGACACGGAGCTAGCCCTCCTCCTGGCCTTGCGAAGTGGTTTGGATCAGATGTGCTTGAACAGCCACTGCCGTCCATGCCAGCTAAAGTCATCAGTGTAGATGAGTTGGAGTTCCACCCATAAAAAGGGAATAATTTGCTGGAGAGCAAGATTTTCCCTCTGCCCCACCATCTCCCCTTCCTGCTTACCATGAAAATGTGAACTTTAATTTGAAAGATGGTGGATAATGGGACATTGTGTTGGTGCTTTTTTTGAAAAGAGGAGTGGAGATTTATTTTGCCAGTTTGGTTATCTTTTTTCTATTAGTAAATAATGTAAAGGATTGATTGTACAGACGATGAGAGAATCTAATTCTGTGTATATAGCTGTAGTTTTTTGTGGTGTTTTGTTTTTTTGGTTTTTGTTTTCCTGATCTGGAGAGGGGGAGAATAGTTGAACTTGAATTGGGAGACGAATCCGGTAGCATTCCTTTATAGTCTCCACCTCGACCTATTCCTTTGACAATGAGGAAGAGTGATTGCTGGTGACGAATAGTAGGGTAGTTTATTTGGTCAGCTACTCTACCATACTTTGAGTTGTCACCGGTGGTTCTTTTACCTAAAGAGGTTAAGCATGACACCACTGAAGGATGCAATGGTATGGTTGTGCCTTGTTTTGTTTTTTTGTTTTTTTCTTATTAGGATGCTGCCCCTCCCATTTCCCTTTAATTTGTTCACTGTATTCTCTCCAGTCCTGTATCACAGAATTCAGCACTGCTCACACTGTCATTTGAGGGTGTTTGGGAATCAGTTAATGTGCTGTAAAGGTATAAGCACAAATAGAAATAATAAATAAAACCTTGAGTAAAAAAAAAAGTTGGTAAATCATTTTTGTATCTGATACTGGTATGCTGGTTTTAAAATGTATAGAAACAGTTTACAAATGCAAAGCAGTCGATTGTTAGGTGGCAAAAAATCTAACTTATGATGGTACTTTTTTTTTTGTGTACTTTGTCTTCTGTTCATCTGGGTCTGGATGATGGGGGCACAACCTTCAGCTCTGTTGGGAGAAGCCTGAGCCATTCCCAGGGCAGCTGAGAGGCAACAGCTTCATCCAGAGACATCAATGTATAGCTCCTATCTCTTCACATTTTGCAAGGTCCACTTTATCCAGAGTAGAAAGGTAGCTCCAGACTGCTGTGCTGAATCCTGACAGCCTTCAGCCATGCAGGCATCATTATGTGGTGGACAAACGCATAATGGTCCAACTGGAGCTACAGCCTTGTTTTAAAAAAAACTACTGGAGCTCTTCATTGTAAAACTCGAAACGTGAAAGTGTTCATCAGCATGTGTCAAAGTAAATTCCACAAATGATACATATGTCAAACACTTTGAGTAAAGCTGTGCCTATACTTCCTATGAATCAAAGGATTGTGGGCAATAACATGGCTCCAAACAACAGCTAGGGATGTCAGGAGATCTCTTAGCTCCTGCCTAACTGCCAATGATATTGGTATAACACTTATGACCATGGCTGAAATATTTCAGCTGTGTCCTCACTGAACTCAAGCCTCTTCACCAAAGGGGAGGAGCTCTTTTCAGATGCTTTAATGTCTTTTTTTTTTTTTTTCCCCCCTCTTCATTACCAAAGTTTTAGTACTGGATGCTATTAATAGAACTTACTGATTATTTTTAGGTTTAAAACTTAAATGATTCACTCTTTGAACCTTAGCTTGAACACACAGATTGTATGCTAGAAAAGAGCCCCACCATGCAATGACTTTTTTTTTTTTTTTTTATTTCCCTCTGTAAACCTTCAAATAAAACTGCCCTTTGGGCCATTCACATTTAAGAATAATCAGCTACCAGCTCCTTTACAACCAGGGGTGGATTTATTCAGCTTGACTTGGAAATAGCTTTTCAACAATTACCAAAATCTGTTATGTGTTACAAAGTTTATGGTGCACTGTAATGGTGGCCTTGTGGTTAGAGCAGTCTGGGGAATGCTGCAAATTCCATGGTTTTGATTTCACACAACACAACTCTGGGTCCCTGAACAACGCCAAAGGGTAGGGCTGCATTTAGGCAGCCCAGTGCTATTTAAGGGATGGATTAAACATAGAGGAAAGGGGTTAAAGTCAAATATCAGAGCTAAAGGTTAGTTTTCAAAGGACCCTATAGGTCTGATCTGAATCAAAATTAAAACTTCAGATGGACAACTAATGAAGATTTAGATGTGTGGAGTGGATGGTCATGTGCATACCAGCACTGGATGCCTATAAGCAATCTGATTGACAGCTGACATACAGTGCCTTAGTAAATATGACCTAATACGGTAGTTTCCTTCTGCTTTTTTGTGGTGCTTAAATGTTTTAGATATAAACACCAAAATATAAGGATTTTAGATTTTTTTTTTTTTACTGCCAAACCTGTAAAATCAAAATGAAATAAGCCATGGTTTCAGAAAAAAAAAAATACTAATAAGTAAACAAAGATGTGACATTATTAGTGGAATTATCTGGGATAACAGTTCTGATCAGCTTTTTATATTTTATACATTTGGGAACCACTGCTCTAATTTAACCCATTAAAATTTATAAGATTTAAATTTGTCGATGGGTGATGTCTAAATGCAGATTTAATTTGATCATATTTCTTTCATGCTTTTAATATGTATATTTTTCATTTCAGCTGGGCATCTGTGTATGACATTCCAAGATCATGTTTGATAAATTAGGAGGTTTACACTTTGTTCTAAAATGGGACTTTGTGGTAAACAGGATTCCAATATATTCCAATTAAGCTGTCCAACTTTCACAAGCAGATTTTACATAATTGGAAAATGATTTTCACCCACAGCTTTTCTCCCCATAGATCAACTCTATGGAAAAATAGAGTAATAACAGTTGTAAATCTATCTTCAAAAAGGAATGGCTCAAATAAGACAGTATTTATGTTACAGATTTATTGGATAACAGCGATATTTTAAATCATTCAGATTTTTTTTTAAATATGATGTAAATTGTTCCTCTAAAAGAGTATAACAAACTGCGTAAATCGATTCCACTGCCGTTAATTCACTTGATTAAAAATTCTAGGTTATATAATAATTACCCACCAATATTGCCCAGTTTGTTTATTTCACAATGCAATCTGTTTGATAAAAAATGCAATAATAAATTCATTAGTATTTTGAAATCTGGAAAATTTAATGATTATGATAGATTTACTTGGAAGTTGATAAATAATTTTTTAAAATTTGTTAAATGGCCTATTCTACCTAAAGCCAAAGAAACACATTTTTTAATATAAACACACATTTTCCTGTGGCAGAATTTTTTAAGAAAAAGATTTGGTTTTGAGGTGGATCAATGTTCCTTTTGTAATAATAATAATAGTGAAAAAAATAAAAGTGTGTATGGGGGGGCTGGTTGGGGGAGGGGCTTCAATAACAGAGGAGGAAGAAGAGAAACCTGCGTGTAAATGTTTACCCACATAAGCAATACTAATAATTATATTAATCTCCTGTGGTGCAAAATATCGAAATAAACAACTTTAGAGGCAGATACAATAAAAATATATATATATTGTGTAAAAAATATGAACATTTACAAACAAAACAAAAAAAAAAAGCGACCCCCACCCTACAAGAAAGCAGGGCCAAAGTTCACAGGAAGCTGGGGGGCTGCCATCTTTCCCCTGCTGCTGCTGCTAACGGTAAACTGTAGATGCTAAAGCGACGGGAGGGGCGGCTGGTTCGGGCTGTTCTCGCTAGCTGGCCTCGGTCTATCGGGGGCCGTTAAAGCGCCATCACTCGTTTCCTCCGACGGTCCAACGCCAACGAGCAAAGTGTTTGTTTGATGAATTCGGTATGGAGAAGGTAGCGGAGCCGTCTTGGACCTCTTCGTACACCTACCAGGTGAGCAAACACAGCGCCGAGATGCTACACAACCTCAACATTCAGAGAAAAGATGGAGGCAGGTTCTGCGACGTGATCCTGCGCGTCGGCGAGGAGAGCTTCCCCGCTCACAAAGCGGTGCTGGCCGCCTGCAGCGAGTACTTCGAGTCGGTGTTCGGCCGTCAGACGGAGGGAGAGGGCGACGCCAAGGAGCTGGAGATGCACACGATCAGCCCGAAAGTTTTCAAAGACATCCTGGACTTCGCTTATACCTCCAGGATCGTGGTTCGGTTGGAGTGCTTCCCAGAGTTGATGACGGCTGCCAAGTTTCTGCTGATGCGCTCCGTCATCGAGATATGTCAGGAGGTCATCAAGCAGTCCAACGTGCAGATCTTAGTCCCGACGGCTCGAGGAGGAGAAGCTAGTCTCTTCCAGGCCATGGGGGCCACCGAGCTGGGTTTCCCCGTAGCTCAGCAAGATCTGGTGAACGGAGCGGGTCTGCTGATCAACGGCCAGGGCTTTGTGAGCAGCACGCAGATGCGGATGGATGAGAGCGAAGAGGCGCCGCCGGCCGCGCTGCTGGAGAACGGCGGGGATCCGATGTTGGAGCCGGTTGTTGAAGGACTTTCCGTGTCGCCGTCGGCGGAAATCGCGGGGAGCATGTTTCATCACGAAGCTGGCTCCCCTGGATCAAAACGGGGAAGGGGGAGACCGAAGAAAGAGGCTGTCCATTTTAATCACATCAACCAGAAGGACAACGGGCAGCTCTTCCCCTGCGGGGCCTGCGGCAAAGCTTTCACAGAAGCTTCTCGTTTAAAGAACCACGAAGCGCAACATGGAGCCTCCACTGGGGGCGTCCACAGCCTCGGAGGCGGTCTGTCTTTGCTGTCGCAACCCGGGCTGCTGGAAAACGGGATGCAGTTACCCGGAGGGCTGGCGCTGGACAGCCACCGCAAGCGGGAGCGGACCAGGCGGCATGTGGGCTGCGACATCTGCGGGAAAGTGTTCCGGGACGTGTATCACCTGAACCGACACAAGCTGTCCCACTCCGGGGAGAAGCCCTATGCGTGTCCTGTGTGCGGGTTGAGGTTCAAGCGCAAGGACCGGATGTCGTACCATGTTCGGTCCCACGATGGCTCGGTTGGCAAACCGTATGTGTGCCAAAGCTGTGGGAAAGGTTTCTCTAGGTGAGTTGGATCCCCGGGTCTTTGTTTGTTTTTGTTTTGTTTTTAACGACACAGTTTCTGCTTTCAAGTACAATAAGCCATAATGCAGCATCGTAAAGTTAATTTATATTGAAACTTGACTTCAAAACGTATCTGTCAAGCACGGGCGGAGCCAGATTGGGGGGCCAGGGGTGGCCATGGTCCCCCTTAATCAATCATTGGCTGCCCCTACCATTTTTCCCCCCTCTAATACAGATGGTGGCAGCAGTAATACTCTCAAGTGGGATATTCAAAACATTTTATTTTTTTGTGGTTAATTATACACATCAATATACTAACATCAAAGATGATAAATACTGAATTCATGCTCTTTTTAGAACTATATTTATTGTGCTTTATGGGTTAAAGAGATCATGATGTGTTTCTGTCTCTTAAATAACAATTTTAATAAAAACTTATCAAAAAATCAATTTATGTAGATCTTAGTGCTCTTAAATATCGCTTTTATGTAGAATGTATATTTGTACGAGTAGGTGAGTAATGACAATGAAAAAGAGACAAGGACTGCTTGCGATTATGGAGTTTTGAGAGTCCTATTGTCCATTTTTTAAATACAAAATCATAGGCAGGGTCCAATTTTTAACTACAATGTTTTCTTCAGGACTCTTTTCATTAAGGATCAAGTCCAGTTGAATCCAAATTAAAGATAACCTGCATTAAAAAAAAAAAAATCTGTTTCTGCTGTCATTATTTTTAGCATTTCTCAGTCATAGTTTTCAAAACCTTGCAGCATATTTTAGGTGTTACCTTGCTGCAGAGCGGTGGATTGAATAACAGGCTTCTGCAGCATTGGTGGCATGCTTAGGATGTAATGCAATCGTTTAGGCTGGCCGTTTTGGAGCAGAGCCACACCTGAAACGTTAAGGACCTTTGGCCATGTGAACCTCTTCCGTTCACCCACACATTTGATGAACAGTTAATCTTACTCAGAAGTTTAAGCTCATCTGCCGTTTCAATCGGGGTAACAGCAGACCGCTAAGGCTCAGTATTTTCTCAGACTGTGCCTCTAATCCAGATCCTCAACCTGCTGGTGTGAAGGTTAAAAACAAACTGGTTTAAATAAACCAGATTTGACATCATAATTGCAGTTTCAATATTGCTTCATTATGTTTAATAAATCAGGTTATCTCCTATATTGGCACTAGCTGCATAGACTTTTCCTGTACTTTTTAGTGACGGGACATAAAGATTTTAGTGACCAAGGTCAGCAAACTTATAGTGAGTTGTCAGGGCATCATAACATCAGCTTTTCTTTACGATGTGGAGAACAAAAATATTTATTTTTGCTATTGGCAAGAGAAATGACTAAGGAATTTTATTCCTGTGATTTTGTAACTTAATACCTGCTGTTCCTTAATTAAGCTTTGTCTGCCTACAGTTTAATGCTTTGCTAATGATCAGTGTAATTATAGTGCAGTGTTTTGTTTGAAAAAAAAAACTTGATTGAGATTCACATATTAAACAGAGCTCTATGCTCTGTCTATGCAATGTTTACTGCTTATTATGAAGGTTTTTTTCAATAATAGTACAACTCTTCTCAGCATCATAAATCCATGCAGTCATCTTGCATTGTTGTTTTTTTTTTTTGTTGCTTTTCTTCCAGACCAGACCACCTGAACGGACACATTAAACAAGTGCACACCACAGAGAGACCCCACAAGTGCCAGGTAAAAAAACCTTTCAGGACCCAGTACTAATGGAAAACCCTTTGAGCTTTAGCAGAGACATGTATGTGTTTTCAAAATCACTGTGATTTTTTTCAGATATGTAACGCATCCTTCGCGACGAGAGATCGCCTTCGGTCACACCTCGCCTGCCACGAAGACAAAATTCCCTGCAAAGTCTGCGGCAAGTTTCTGCGAGCCGCCTACATGACAGACCACCTGAAGAAGCACAGCGAAGGAACTCACAACTACTGTGGCATTTGCAATAAAGGTAACTTCTACCAGAAACGGGTCCGACACATAAAACATTTGCAAATCGGATTTAGTCCTGATCTGTTTTTGCTGATGGAAATTAAGACTGAACTGTTTGACTTGTTGAACCAAATCTGGGAAGGTAATATTCAAATCATTTAAAGGTGTTGCAGACATGGGGTCTGTGTTTTGTTTGCAGGTTATTTGAGCTACCGTACGTTTAATGAGAAATCTCAAATACACCTTGTCAGATCACTTGTGTTTGTGTTGGAGAACAAGGTGAACCGGAATCTTTGCCCTCCTGGTCTTCAGTAAAAGTTGCACATCTGATTACTGCTGGACTTTATTTTCTCACTTCTGTTAAGTGGCGGTTTTGAACACCTTAGTCTCCTATGCAGGGAGATGGCCGACTACCTCCCTAAAATAAATTTTTGTGGGATCGTTTAACATGATCGCATAAAATCTTTTAACTCCCTTTATCCCTTATTTCTGAAGTTTTCCACTCCTTATGGCCAATAATCAAGGAGACTACTCTTTCCACTATGGGTTTTACTATGAAATATTTTCGCTGTTAGTGAGATACAATTAAGTTGTTTACTTGGAGCATAGTTTGACCTATGGGCTTGGAGGCTACCACATTTGTTCAACTTACTGCCACAAACTTTAATGTATTTTTTTGGGGGATTTTATACATTATATTTGGCTTTATTCAATTCTTTGAGAAATTAAAAATCTGATATGCTTTATCTGCATGTGTCTTCACCTCCCTTTTTTTTTTTTTTTTAAATATCTAATAAAAAAAAAGACTTTCATCTTGATATCTAAGCACAGATATCTGGAATAGATGTATATATGGGGGAGAAAACGAATCAGTCTTCCAACCTGTGTAGGCGGACTGTGACATTACCACATCGAATGTGAGGTGCTGACATGGATGCAGCTATAAGCAAAGCTCTATCAGCCAAGCTAACCAATCTCCTGCTCAGTGGATAGCAACAAGCTGCCAGCGAGCTCGTTGTTCAGGCGGCCAAAGGTGACCCATCTTACAAACTACCTGCGAGGCAAACTATCATGAGAATACATGACCAGCACGCCGCAGAAAAAGGCGTGAAAGATGAGAAGTTGAGCGAGGTGAATTTTGTGTCAGATTTTTGGAGACACTATATTATTAAAGTGGGACACTTTTTTTATTTTTTTTGCAGGAAAAACACATTAACAAATGAGCAAAAAAGTATTTATTACTGTCAAAATCTTAAGCAAGAAGAAGAAATTTTGTTGTATTTTGCAGGCTTAAAAAAGTAAACCCTTTTTTTTAAATTCTGGAGGTATTACACACATTATGAAGAATTCAAATGAGTGCTATCAATCTAGATTAATTTCAAGATTACTTTGAGATTAATCTAAATGAAAAAAATGTAACTATGCCACTTGTTTTAATGTATATATGGAGCCTTGTGCACAGCAAATATTTGACGCTATGTGTAGCAGAAAGCCAAGCAGAATGTCACATTGAGCACCACATATTGGGCTCAAACATGGAGGTGGTAGTATTATGCTGAGTGATTTATTTGAGGGAGGATCATAAAAACTGGAGGGTTATCTTCCAGCAGGACGACGGTAAATGTATAAGACCTATGATTGAATGCTTTAGATCAGTGTTTTTCAATTCTGGTCCTCAAGGCACACTGGCCTGCATGTTTTAGATGTTTCCCAGCTTTCACACACCTGTTATCAATTGATAGCAGATTATCAGGCTTTGCTGAACTGCAATCATCTGAATCAGGTTTGCTGAACCTCAGAAACATCCAAAACATGCGGAGCAGGCTGCCTTGAGGACCAGTATTGAAAAACACTGCTTTAGATCACGGTTTCTAAAGTGTGGCCGGGGAGCCGTTTGCAGCCTTCTCAATGATTATTTGCGGATTTCCAATATACAGTTTTAATTTTTTCTTTTGTGGTTTAAAAAAAAAATGTGCACAGAATATAATGCGGGTCTGTTGCATAAAATCTTTCCTAAGATATGTTAAAGTTTGTGGTTGTAATGTGATGAAATGTAAAGAGTTTTGCTGGGTACTGTTTGTTAGTCAGGTTATAAAACCCCATCAAAGATACAGACCAACATTTCCTCCAGTGTCTCATACATGGTGTTGGATTACTTATCTAATGGTGGTTTCAGCTGATGTTTTGACAGGCTGAAGTTAAATGAAAGCATTTTTGATGCTCAGAGTTGCTAGCCTCTTGTATCCAAGGCTTTGACTGTATCAAGCAACTGCCTTGTTCTTTATGTTTTTGTTTTCGGCCCCAGGTTTCTCCACCGCGTCCTACCTTAAGGTGCATATAAAGACACACCATGGCTCCTCACTGCCAACTTCTGCCCCATTGCACGCCTTCCCTGACCCAAGGGGGGAACTGCAGATGCACAACGGCACCCCTTACCAAATGGGACGCCAGTGCTCAGTGGAAGGCAAGCAGTCGCCCGCTCGCCTCCTCCCTCCGAAACTTCTTTTTATGTTTCTGGTTATCATTTGCTACAGAGACACAGGCTGGCAGGTCTTCATATGTTTTAAGCCAGATTACACATCAGTGGCTGCTTTCATGCTTTTTGTCTCACCTTCACAGCTTTAATGGAAAAGAACTTTAAGAACATTTTCTCTTTTGTCTTGAGCAGTTTTTATTTATTTTATGCACATAAAATCCCAGTGTAATGGTCCATGTTTGCAGAGTTAATGTTGTGCACGGCAAAGCTGGAAAAGGGTTGCAGACACCAGCATGCTGAGAACTCATGGTCCATTTATCTGGAAGGAAGAAATGATACTACTGTATACTGCATCCATCTATAAAACCACCTGATTTAGTGTGTTCCTGAAAGGCTTTGTCTTCTTGAAGGAGCTTTTTACCTCTTGCTCAGCCCTAATTTAGATAATGTAATAAAATTTGTGTTAGATTATCCAAGTTTTTGTTCTCTCTTAAGGATTTAAATCATTGAGACAGGTAGCACCTTTGCCTGTTTGTGTGTTGCTGTCTGGCATGGCTATGGCTGCAGAGTTCAGTTTCTGTTTCTGCTTGGCTTGTTCATTGGTAGTTCTTCATCTATGCACAGTGATGCATGATCGTCCTGGAGTGTGCTGCTCCATACGCTCGCCCTGGGTTCACTGGCACCAATTCTGCTGCATACAAAGAAATTAGAACTACAAGTTGGGCTCCGTGAGCTGGACAGCGCCATATATGTGCTTCTTTTTTCATTTAAATAATGCTGAAGGTGTATTGTACTGATGATTAACAAGTTTTAAATCTTTATGAAATTTTCATTTTTATTTTAAATTCTCTTTTAAATTAGTGTTTAGTATTTACTAGATAGTTTAGCTTTTATTTTTTGAAAATGTTTAGTTCTAATTTGGTTTTTATTCGTTTTTTCATTTATAGTTCTAGTATAATAGGAAGAAAAATCCCAGATAAGGACACAACGCTGTAGCAACCAAATGACTTGACTGCCGGCCCTGCCATCTGCTAGTGTAGTATGGGGAAAAAAAGCTATAATAGCAACCACAAACTAAACCTTGTAGTAATGCATTATTAATGCATACATAAATGTATACCATCTCTCTTAAAATTCATTTGTTTCAATCCGTTTTATAAACTCTTTTTACAGTTTCACAGCTTTTTTTTTTTTTTTTTTTTTGCAAGGCCTAGAAATCTTCCATATGTTTGCTGTGCCCCCTACATGATTTGTTCCATACTCTACCATCTTCCTATTTTATATACGATACTTTGTGCTGCTCTGTCACATAAAATCTCACTATCATGTACTCATTTAATAGAACTTGGAAAAGACATGCTGATAGTCAATTGTATACATTTTAATTGCAAAATCGTCAGTTCTTGACATAAATGAATTAGGAGGATTGACTTTTTTTTATTTCTAACATCATCACCTCCTGAACTATAGAAGGAGGGATTGCTGCTGTTACAAAAAGAAAAACTTGCACAAGAAGAAAAGTTCATATCAAAGGGTTTAAAACCAGCAAAGGACTTCTGGCAACTAATTGGTTCAGTACATCAGAACAATTTTCAGCAAGTTAACCTCAAATGTGGTCCTGCAGAAGGATTGGGGGTGCATGGAGCTAGCACGACTAACTGGTTGGATGGAACAGCATGCATCCTGTTCAGTTGTGGGGTAACTGGGCTGAGCTGCTGTTTCATGTAGAGTTTGGGCCACTCTGACATAACCGCTGCTTAAGATTGGCTGTTCTGTCAGTTTTCATTTTAACACATTCAGTTTGGTGGTTTTTACTTGTCTTCTAATCAATGTCACTCTTCATCTCTTCCCTTTCATCTTCCTCTTTCTGCCACCTGTGACGATTCAACTCAGACGGACAGGAAAACGTGACTAAGTGTCCCCACCTGGAGTCGGAGGAGTCTGATACTTCGTTAAGGGAATTGTCCAATGTCGACGAGCTTAAGTCTCCCCCTAAATCTGATGGACCAGAGCTTGAAGGGCCTTCCTTAGCCTGCAACGGGGCCCCTGCTGGGGTCCTTGGCTCTCCAGATGCTTCTAAAGCCAACGCCGACCCTGAAAAGAAGTTTATCTGTGGAATCTGCAGCCAGGCATTCCGTACCAAGTCCTACCTCAACAAGCACCAGCACCGAGTTCACAAAGCCCAGAGGACCCTCGGGGTCTTAGGGCCTAGTTTAAGTGAGATGGCACCCTCTCTGACTTCTCCCTTCTCTCCTCAACAAAACATGTCCCTCCTCGAGTCATTCGGCTTCCAGATCGTCCAGTCGGCTTTCGCCTCTTCTCTCGTGGACGCAGAAGCAGGTCAGAGTGGAATTGACTTTGGAGGGAAGTAACACCTTCCCAGAGGCCTTTGCAAGCAGTCGTTTGGCCTCTTCACGTTTAGGACGAAGCCAGGTTGCCCACAGAAAAAAACTGTGTTTGGGAACCATTTTGCCTCAAGACTACTCTCTCTGTTTGTCTCTTTGCTTTATGTTCAACCAACAGTTTTCTGTCAGAAACTGACACTGAAGTCCTACTTTTCTACGTTTTCGGACGGGGATGTGTTTGCTGTTTAAAAGCTTGTGTTAAAAAAAAAAAAGACCAAAAAAAAAAGGTTTTGCTTTTCACTGTTGGTCTGTGAAAGTTATGTTACATTTCTTTTTTTCTGAGCTTTCTCAGCTGCACAAAGTTCTTCTCGTGAGATGACTTATTTACTTTATTGTTAATAGTTGTTAACTTCCTCACTTTAACTGCTCCAGCGAGCTTAACAATGGATCTTCAGTCATCCCAGCCATCACAGATATCTTTACCTCAGAGCAAAAGCAGGGCTCACATCTAGATTTATCTCAATTCAGAGTTTTGTTTTTTTGTTTTGGAAGGAATTTAATAGAATTTCGGTTCTTTTTTAATTAGCTACATGGTGAAGATAAAACATAGCAAACAGGCTGAGAGCCTGAGGGATCAGTGTTACTTGTTCATCAACACCCCTGGTAAAGATGGAAAGCTAACCTTAAAATAAATTCATATTTATTACAGTAGCACCAGGAAAAAAAAGGAAATAAAATAAAACTAAAACTTAAGCTAATTTTGGGAAGTAACTTAAAATTCCTTGTGTTGCTGTTCATTACATTCAGCCTTTTTTCTAGGGAGTATTTGTACAAATTTCCCATTGCTGATTTGATTATGTTCCCCATAAAGCACTCCAAATATAGTCCTTCTTCTAGCACCCTGGATAGATTAAAAGCTGAACCATCGTAACAATGAAAATAAAATGGTAAAATAAAAACGGTTATTTTTTAAATCCCGACCTCGATTACAGCGTCTCTGTATCAGACTATTACAGTTAAACCCTTCAAGTCATGGTTTAGATCTCTCTGGATAAAACCCAACTAAAATCAATTCCAGCGTAGATTATAGCCTCCTAATGTTTCTGTCCTTATCTAAAAGTGTGTCGCAAATTTATTATTTTTTTTTCTATCCTATTAATTAAGGAGTATTAGCTTCTTCCAACTTCAACTTTGTGAGGAATAATGCTCTGGTTTGGATACGTTATAGTAGTTATTTCTTTCATTACAGCAGCTGTGGAGCCACAGCTAATGTTCTCCTCAGTTCAACCCACAGGGTTACCTATAGGGTTTAGGCTAGTTATGTGTCTAATGCACCGTTTCTGTTATCATTTTTGATAATGGTATTTCAGATTTTTCATGTCAGAGTCTTTAGGCCCCTTTAGAAGAGAAACAGACCCACAGTATCACAGACCTTCCACCATACATAACTGGGCATTATTTACTTTTCCAAATTCTCATCCTTTGTTTTATACCCGACTTTACCTAGTGTTTGGTACTTAAAGCTTCTAGTTAAAATAAAATAAGGTATTTGACCAAAGCACTACGTTCAGGCTAAAATAACTTTCAGAGTTTGACAAAACTGCACACTTAAACATTCCCACTCCAGCAATTTAAGTCACAGTTGGGATTATTGTAAAAAATTGAGTTTACTCTGATGGTAAATGTAGGAAATTATTGGTTAAATATCTAATTTTGTTGGCAGTTACAGTACACCTGCATCTACGTATTTAATTCCAGTTTTAAAAAGCTGCTAATAGAATTAGGCCTCTGCCTCTTATTCATACCTCAGTAAAACATCAAATCTACTGTACAACTTCAAGTATATTTATATTACATAAATTATAAGAGAAATGCTTCAGTTGCACTGATTATACATCAGCCCAGTAAAACTATCATGAGGGATGTTTTAGAACAGATTTTTTAAATCACCACTGAATAAATGTACTCATTTAAAGGGCTTAATCTTTTCCAAAACAGATTATGCTGCTGTGATACAAATGAATTTATTGTAAGTCTCTTCACTCATCAGTACTGGGGTGTGAGTAACGGTGTAGGATGTTTTTATGTTTACAAAAAAAATCAGATCTCTCTGTATCAGTCAGGCACTTTGATATTAAAAACCCTCAGATAGTTAAGCACTTTTCAAAGTGCCTCAGTTTACTGTAGGTTTGGTATTATTTGGTCAATTATTAGTTTTAAAAGGAAAAAAAACAGGAAGTAAAGCGATTGGTCGGAATTTCTTGTAGTGCATTTAATTTAAATCAGGACTAATATGGCTAGAATTCGATAAATAGACAATTATCTGATGTTTATTTCAAACCTTTCTCCTACATCCCCACAAATCAGTCCCTGATTGCTTTTCATAGGAGGTCTTAGGTTCACAGAGACGCAACCCAAACGGGATAAGAAGGCAGAAAGGAGGGGATCATTTATTTATGAGCTTCTAGAATGCATGAAACGGGGAATCAAGATCAGGTATATTTTCAGGATATATTTTAAAAGATTATATTTTAATTATTTATTCAGACCCTGACTTTTGTGTGGCTTTAATTTTCTGTCAAAGAAAATCTTGTTCTTTTTTGTTTTGTTTTACTAATTTATGGTTAACGGAGATGTGAAAACGTGTGTTGTGCAGGATGCTTTGCAGAGGGAGGGATTCACAGCTGGTTTAAACCTTCATCACCTGGACTTCTCTTCCTCCTCATCCTTTGCTCGGAGCCATTTCTGCTGCTCTCATTGCATTAAAGGCTGCTTGCTTTGGTTCGACATTACAATGTGCAGTCTTAACAGTCGTGTAGCAAAGACAAACATAAGCTGTTTATTGACAAATAATCTAGTGGGATTTTTTATTTTATTTTTTTTTTCACTTCAGTTTCTTTATTTCTGTAAGCTAAATTCTACTTTGCAGATATTTAATCATCCTTAATTGGTGTTCTCAGATTAGCCCAAAAGCGGAATTATGCAAAAAAAAATAAAAATTTTAGGAGTCCTTGTTCGGATCATGTCGTACCTATTGTAAGTTAACGGCTGAGATCATGTCCAAACATTTTATTTTGAGCCCACCATTTGGTTTGCTTTACAATCAAAAGCTCATCAGGAATAAAAGCCACTAAACCTTTCTGTTTTATGCTACGTGGCTCTAATTAAAAAAAGCTCCTTTCATCTGATCCTCCCTTACCTTCTCCTGTAAATATTTGAAACTGAAGTACAATGATCCTCAGCGCTCCGTTTTATCTGTACGGTTGCAAAGCACCTGCCACACTTCACACATCAGATTAATCCTAGCAGTTTCTTTTATTTCTTGTTTTTGTTAAAAATGTGTATCGCGATGCAAATCAGGCTCAGTCTAACAGTGAAGGGCTGATGGTGTGTGTGTGTGGAGAGAGGATGATGGCTCTTGAGTGTATACTGCTAATTATTTGTGAGTAATTTAGTACATTCCTATATTATTTATGGTTATATTGTGATTGTAACAAGTGTACATACCTTCCATGCACACACACGCACACACACAATGAATATATATAAATAGATATATATATATATAAATATATATGAATCAACCTGTTTGAACCGTGTTTGTAAGTAGTGAGTTTGTACATATTAAGGTTTAGTTTCAGTTGTTGTTGGGAGGAATGTTAAGTTATGGCCATCTGACGTGTAAAGTGCACATCGAGGCATGTGAGCAGAGCTGGGGACTGAATGTCGATCACTGGTTGGCGGCAGCAGTCGTATATATTGGTTACACTGAACTATCACGTTGCCGCGGTAGCGCTCGCACTGCCAGCTGCTCGACTCTTTGACCAAGCTTTTTTTTTTTTTTATATACCCACTCTGCACTGGTATTTCTGTTTAAAGACACTTGGGATATGCTGTAAAGATGTAATAAACATTTGTTTAGACTTTATTAGAAAGAAAACAAACTTTTTATTCTTTCCCAAAATTGAATTATGATGACAAATATTTTTGGGGGCTTAAATGTTTTGGTTTCTGCTTTTTGTCTGTTGCAAAGTGCCTTCCAAATACTGATTGTGCTCAGCAGTGGTTTAATAAAAAAACAAACAAAAAAAAAACAAATAAAACAGTCCTTTTTCTTTTCCAAAGGGTATAAATTGTACAGAGTCACTTGCATTGACAGTTTTGTATAAAAAGCGCAAGATGTACAATATGTTCCCTTGGTATTTTATCATTGTACTCGACGGGATTGCTCTTCAGGACACTTGAACTTTGTGTTTTGTTATGACGTCTTTGGACTTATTTCGTTATGAGCTTACTTTTCTATAGATATTTGTTTTTTTGTACTCTGTTCCTGAGTCTCGTCTCAGATTCTTGGTTTAGAGATGAGAATCAAATAAATTGCAGCTGAAAATCTCCAGACATTTGTCCTGTAGTTATTAGGCTATAAATGTAGTCATGATCAGAAGTTTGCTCTGAAAGCTGTGAAAGTTTTGTTTTTTACAGTTTGTTCGAGTTTAGCTTTGTTTTCACACTGACATATTTCAGGTAAATTAAATGTATTAGAAAAACTAAATAGTAGGAAATGCTTTAATACTTTGTATATTTTTTACTCATAGAAAATCATCCTGGTCGGTGACATTTTGCTATCAAGTGTTTTCAGTAAATGGTCTTTTTTTTATCACTATGGAATAGTTTTTTTTGCAGATTACCTTTCATTGTTTACTGACAAAGGGTCTTTAGATTGCCTGTTTACTTTCATGCCAAAACATTTCACTCACCTTTTTTTGCCTAGACTTCGAAACTTTTATTTAGTTCTTAATCGTTTCTTTGGCATCCCAGAGGGATGGGAAGTAAGAAAAGACTGAGATTTAAGGAGGGAACAATGATAGAGAGACCAGGAAGTTCATTGGTGAAGGAAGCAGATAAAAGTGTAACAGCTGAAAACACAGTGAAGATGATGAAAATGGTGTTAGCATAAGTGGTGAAGATGAGAAGATTTCAGGATCAAAGAGTGGGAAAAAGACAATGCAAAAGCAGGAGACTTTTTGACTTTTAGCAACACTTTATTTGCACAACTTAATATATATATAAACAATTATTGATGTAAAACAAGTGTCGGCTAAAAATTATTAAATGAGGAGCTTGTTAAATTGTAGTTGTCCTTCATCTGACACAGTACATAAAATTTAGTTAAAACCCCACAACTGAATAAAAATCCTCCATGTTCTGTGTGACTCTATGTAAGTGAAACTCCAGCCTTATTCTGGCTTTAATGTTGCACTTCCACAGAGCCACGGCATCAAGGTGAGCTCCCTCCTCCGGTCCGTCTCTGCGTGACAAGTAAATGGCCATCTTTGCTTCACTGATTCAAAAGTTTAAAAGTTGGGCCTTTGGCTTATTTTTTCTGTTCTGGCAAACTCCTCCTATAAAAAGAGCCTTTGTAAAAACCGTCCCAAGAAGACTAAAAACAGGAGATGAAGGAGAACAAGAAGGAAACATTCAGGGAATCCAGCCTATCCAACTAGAGTTGAGCTGAACTTCATGTTCTCACCTAAATTTATATAAGTAAAAGTTTTCAGATACTGTTTTCGTTTGACAATGTTCTCTCTTGTTGTATCATGTTTCTAACATATACAGACACCTGTTTAATGGGACTATCCATGGTTCAGAACAGCAAGAGTTACATAAGTAGATATGGATCAAATGTACACAATAATTTAGAAAAACTTTATCTAAGATAGGAAAATACATTATTTAAGTCCTGCAAAGTCCGGCAAAGCTTGTAGAATCATATTTTCTTTCCATAATCAAAAACAGAAAAACAGCAAAATAAAATGAACTGGTTTGACATTTGATGATGAAATGCTTTAAAAAGGGAAATGTTAAAGAAAATTTTATATTTTTTTCACAGCAAGTTAACAGTTATGTTAACAGTCGTCGAATAACATCCAGAGACTGAGTTTTCTGTGTTCTGTCAGATCAGCATACCCCGTCAGACCAGCGTTCCCATAGTCAATATGCACGCGCAAGACGTCAGATTTGCATACGTCTGACACTATAAGTGGAAAGAAGTCTACTAGGCAATACAAATAACTCAACTATTAATTAAATATAACTTCCAGTTCTAGTTATTTAATATATTCATAATCTTCTGGTAAAGTCTCACAACATCGGTGTCTGGGATTACTTCCTGGAGCCTTGATGGTGAGGCAGTGATGGCTAGTACTATAAGGCAGTGGAAAGACACACCTCGCCCAGTTTATACTGAGTTTGTAATTCCAAACTTTTGTCATTTTGGCCTTTGAAGTTCATCTTGTGAAATTCGCTGGTAATGTCGGACAGAGACTTCCCTTTGGTCTCCGGTAGAAACAGGCCAATGTACAGAGCAGACAACAAGCACATGACTCCAAAGGGCACAAAGCAGTACTCACTCAGTCCACTCTGCAAACATAGAAAGAAAAATAAAGAACACATAAAATGATTTGTTGTTGTTCAGACTGCAGAAAATAGGACATAATTTTTTTGTTTTCTGTGCAGCCAGGGGTTACATTTATACAGATAATATGGTTACAGATAAGTGAAAAATCACGGAGAAATGCTGCGTCTTTTATATATATATATTTTGTATATCTATATATTTATTCTGTAAATTGCACAGTCCTTTTATAACTCTTGTATATTTATTTACTTTATAGTTATTTTCTATTTATTGCACAATTTACCTGCACTGTTTTGTTTTACATTTTTTGGAGCTGCTTAAAATGTGGTTTTCCCTTGAGAAACAATGACAAATAAAGACTTAGTTGCAAACATGGCTGCTTTATGTTCATTTGAGGCTGAGAAAAAAACATTGTTCTCAAATAGGTAATGGACATGTAATTTATAAACTATAGACAAGGTCTGCATGTTAGCATAAATAATAAAAAAAAATCTTTAAAGCACATCAGTTTCTTTCTATATGCAAACCTTATCCTTCAATATTTGTTCTGTTCTGTTCTGGATTTGACTTTACTCATCAATGTTTCCTCATTATCTAGAGAAATATGAAGAACTTGAAAGCCATGCTCCATTTTCTAAATTCTTTGTGTCAAAGAAGCCTGACTTTCTGCTCATATTTTAAAATGGCCTTGATCAGTCTGCTTTACACTGGTATTCTTGAGATTGTTCAGCTGCTTTTCCCTCATACCATTCCCTGTAACTCATTCTCACAGCATAAGATATGTGTCCATGAAAATTAGTAAAGAGGACAGGATGAGGGCTAAAGAGGGTTTGAAAATCTTTTTAGAAAATGCTAAAGGAAATAATAACATTATTTTCAAATGTAATAAGAAACTCCAGCTCCAGAGTGAGCAGCTGTTCAGCTAAGGGTAATACTGTATGTAAGTGGAAACAATTCAGTCTGCTTTGCATTATATGACAGTGACTTCTTGTCAGTGCATCAATCATACATCATACATACATCAACAAGTGCAGTGGGGGTGTTAAATTAAGAGTTATATCTGCTGACTGACCACCAGAAATGGGAAGATCATTCCAACGAAAAACAGATTGAGCCACATCATGGAGCCAGCAATCATGTAGGCGGCTGGCCGAGCCGTTTGATTGAAGATCTCAGTGGGAAGAACGCCGGTTACCCCAGCTGTGTGAGAAAGTAGAAAATTGGTCAGTAAGTATATCAAACCTTTTTATAACTAGTTGACTTTTCAAGATTAAAATCAGAAAAGTAAAAAAAGGTGAGATGGGCATTTGAAAAGAGTGTTTCAGATTTTTTTTTATTACAAATACAACAATTATTGATCATTTTATTAACTGTTTAATAACTGATTTTGTTAACTGATTACATTATGGAGGAGAAATGGTTCAACATAAAAAAAAAAAAAATATCCAAAGGTAGATGAGTAATTAGAGCTATTACAGTGAACAGAATTATTTGATCTAATTTGCAGCATCACTGATCTTTAAGAATTGGGGAAGGAACACATTAGTGGATTTTTGAGGATGAGCTTCAAAAGGGTTTTATAAAACCACCAATTTATCTTGTTTTCTATCTTTGATGACAGCAAATTTCTCATTTCACCTGGTCCCATCCCAAAACTGAGAATGTAGGTGAAGATGCAGGCCACGCTCAGGTGCGACACCCACGATACATAACTCTGATGGTATTTGCAAATGAGAGGATGAAGAAGGATTTCATTATCTTAAAAAAAAGGCTGAATAAATCCTCAAAACCAAAAGCTTCTAATAATCAATGCTGCTTACATTAAACAACACAATATCAGATAAACTTTTTTAGTTTTAATGATTCGTTATAATAATAAAAAGTAAAATCCACAAAGATTTGTCGCTCGTAATGTTTATTACCTCAAATGACAGAGCGATTGTGAAGACGATAGTCCAGATGGTCATAAGGAGGAAACCTCCCATCAACATGAACCTCCGACCTTTGCGCTCAACCAACAGATTCTGGGAGTAAAAAGGGGAATTTTAGGAACTTTTTTTTGTTTTTGTAGATAGCTGAGATTATTTACCTAAGAATAATATTTTTTCTCAATAAAAAAATGATTAAAGTGTGTATTCAAGTGTTTGTATTTAAAAGCTAATAACAATCCAACAAACATGCTGAGATATTGTTTACAGTTTCTGTAAAACCTGTAAGTTTTTTCATGTCTTTAACCTCTCAGCTGAGATTCTGTATCTCTTTTGGCCTTTGCTTGAAAACAGCTACAAAATGCAGCATGATTAAAAATGTAATTAATTCATGATTAAGGAAAAAACTATGAAATTGAACTCAAATATTTCCATGGTTAAAAAAGGAAAAATTCTCTACTGAGCAACATATGTTACTGCTTAGCCCTTTAACTTTACATTAAATCACTCTGTTCATGGTGGATGCTATTCAATATTAGTAATAATATAAAAATTCATAGTGGACAGCTTCACTCCCTCTCACCAGCAAGTTGCACACAGCCAGCATAAATGGAGGACACTTACACACATAATGCATGCTGTAAACTCACAGGTCCCCGTGCCGATTGTGGCGTACTGAATTTGATCCTCAGATACGCCGGCCTCTTTAAACACATAAGATGCATAGAAGTAAATCTGCAAGGAGAACACAAAATGTGGACATGCTAAGAGGGATAATTGGTTGTTAGGGGAGTTTAAATACTCATAAGCTGATTTTGACAACATTTGTACACCAAGTAATTATGTTCATATAAAGCCTTCATTGACATGATGCAAACACATTTAAAATGGAAATACATAATAAAGCCCCAATGTTCAAGTCATTTTGCGTTTATTTTCCAGAAATCACAGGGTACATTCATGGTTACTTAATAGGGTGCAGAAACTGCCTACTCGAGGAAAATTATTGGAAGGTCAAGAAAGTTTGCTGTAATTCAAATTAGTCACTGATACTTCTTGAAATAAATACCTTAAATGTTTGAAGAAAAAAAAAAACCCACATTTTTGGAAATTTAACCTGCATTAAGGAATTAATTAAGGAAAATAGATACTTTTCCTTCTGGGCAAAAATCAAACTACCAGTAGAAGCCCTGTTAGTTTATTGTTTATTGGACATTTCAAAACTGTGGCTGGAAAAGATCAAGAAATGAACTTCAAATGTCTCAACAGTACCCTCTAAATCCAGAACTGTGCTCTAATGTTCAGGGAAGGTAACCTATGATGAACTTTGGAAAAGTACCCTACACTGTAAAAAA